TCGTTGTCGATACGCACTTGATTTCGTGCAATAAATTTGCTAGAGGGATTTTGTCTGACTTGAATCATCCACTTTACCCTCAGCTTTCACCTTGCATCTCCTCAGGTAGAACAAGGAGTAACTTCAGAAAACTGTATGCTCGCACGTCTAAGTATAAGAATTCTATGATACCATACTTGTCACGTATTTTATGTGATTGAAAATAGTGTCGGGCAAGAATTAACTAACCTTTTGTCATCTAGTAAATAAACAATTTCCTCCATCCATCCTTATATACCTTCAAGTTTTACTTTTATTACTTCTATTATATTTATGGTCCTGTTACTTCTCTGTTTTACTCTCATAATTGCAAACACCAACTTGTCTCCATGACGGCAGTAATCTTTGTTTTCCCCCTCACCATATCATGTAAATAGAACATTACTTTCAATATTTTTAAACAAGCTAGGATTTCTATGCCGCATCGACAATACTGTGTGGCACAAGCCCACGGCAATTTCACTTGTATTATTATTATTATTACCTAGCTGTTATCATTATTATTATTATTTCCATCTTATATGCTGCATGTTTTTTGACATTACCCACCCCTATTCTAAATGTGGAAAATTTTCTGTATGATTAATTTTATTTATAATTTGAGGAAATTAGATGCAATTTTACGATTAATGCTGAAAATTCCATTCTGTATCACAAGTGCTGTTTTTCAAATAAAGTAAACCAATATTATTATTACGCTGTTCATGACCTTCGTTGCAAGTTTCACCCAGATTTGTTTTTAAACTTCTGTGTGGAAAATGGGTTGATAGGGAGGTCTAAAGCCTGCGTATGTGGAGGGATAATGACGCTAAAAAACGTACTGCCGGGCTACTTGACCGCTACGCATTTATATGCAACCATTGTTATATGAAGAAGTTTGTGAGAGTTGTTGATAAGCCTTACATCATCGTGGTGTTTTAGATACTTTCTTCTCCAACGAGTTGATCTTCGACGAAATCTCAGTACGGATACAGAGGGCTAGTTTCGCATATGACAGTTTACGCCGTCTCTAGCGTAGACGTGCCTGTGTTCCATCTCCCGTGTGAAGTGGTATTGTGGTGAGAGCAGGCTAGCTAAAAAATGGTAGACAGCATTTTACGTCAATGGGTACGTCGCAAATATTGGTGGTGAGAAATTATGAACAAGACTGATTCAACAACCAATCACAGCAGACTTGGCGTATAGATTATCTGACATTCAAGAAACAGTCACAAAGAGATGCAAAGTCAACTTTCTGTGAGAAACAACCAATCAGAAGACTGTGTTTGTCTGCTTGAATAAGCTATAATAATGTACATTAATATATAAATACGTGTTGATTTCCTTAATAAACGATCTGTAGCCTGACTCTTTTCTTTTGTCGTTACAGTATAATAAGGTGAGCAATACTGAAGTGGGGCATTGTTAGAGTGCTAGGTAGGTGGAAGGAGAAATCAGTCGACGAGGTTGTGAAGTTACATGTATTGAGGTGGCTAGGATATGTGTTACGCATGCCTAGTCATCGCCTTCCTCGACAATAAGCAATGTTAGCTGAAATAGGGTCAAATTGGAAAAGAGCTAGTGTTTGTCAAACGAAAGCATGGCTTCGTCATCAGTCAAAGAAATCTAAAACAGTTAGTTTAAGCCACGTAAGAAGATGTCGAATTCCTCGGAACGGTAAAAACCAATAACTGGAAATTGTTGGTGGTATGGCTCAAAGTGGTAGTTCTCAATGGCTGGCGTAGACGCATTCCACTCCTTGTGACTTATGGTTTCCTATGAAACTGTTTTGTTCTTCGTTATTACTATTCCTTTGTCTCACACCTCTGTTTACTGTCTCTATTATGCATTTGTTCTTAATTTCTTCTCTTGCTTTGTGTACTACAAGGAGGGAGTGTAGCAACTTGAACTGCCGCACATGGGTGCAAAGTTCTATGTCGAAAACAGACAGACAGAATTTGAAGCGACCACTAAGTAACAATGCACGTCAGGGTCTCAAATGGAACCTGAATGGAAAATGACGAGTTGGACTTGTTTCCGAGTGTTACATGGAAGAGACCGTATGGAAAGGAGATAAGAGACTACAGGCGTTGTCCTAAAGCCAGTTTAGGATTGGTCAGCTGAAGCCTACAATCCAAAGCTTTCAAATGTATAAAAGGTATGTAGATGACACCTTTATTTTTTTAAATAGTGATTGTAACTTGAATAACATATATTAAATGTATTTAATGATTGCCATCCTGCGATAGAATTCACACTCGAAATGGAGAATGAGTCTATCATTCATTTTCTCGGTGTGAACTTATCAAGGAGGACCGATGGAACTCTGATGAGATGGATTTATCGAAAGCTGTCTTGGAAACGTCAACTGACAAATTTCTACAGCTGGGTACCTATTGGTCGAAAACGAAACCTGGTCCGGTCGCTTGCCACTCGTATTCGGCGCATATGTAGCACTGATACTGTGGAAGATGAGTTATACACGTTGAGGAAAATCCTAATAGAAAATCGATTTCCACCACGTTTTATAGATAAGAATATACATTCAAATCCTATAAAACGTGACTTATCAACCGTACCCAAGAAAGTACTTTACGTGAGCTTGGAATTCAAAGGGGACTTAGCTTCCGATATCATGAAACGAAGGATATCACAGTCCCTGACTGAAAAGAACATTCCCTGCTGCCTCTCTGAGAATAGCCTTTACTAGTCGACCATTACTGTTCAGTAACCTGAAGGATAAGATCCCGCTGTTGACCAACTCAATGTGTGTGTTTGTCAATTCACCTGTTCGTGTCGAGGTAGGTATATCAGTCGTTTGACTCGAGTTTTGTCCAAGAGGGTGCAAGAACACTATCCTGCATGGCTGCTACGAAGAGGAGGAAGTGGAGCAATAAGAAGTGCGATCACTGAACATCTGGTCGATAATGATCACTTTATCTCTATAGCCTCCGCCTTTAAAGTCATCTACAAGGCAAAGAGTAATTTACCCAAATCCCTACGTTCCCGACTCATCTGTATTGCTTTTTTTTTATTTACAGCTTGATTCCACACTGTATTTTCGGTACAAGTATGGAATTTTCAGCATGGATATCGGTAGCCCAAATTTTGCAGACCGACCATAGATATCAGGTGTGCGCCGGCGTGGGCTCGAACCCCGGACCATGTGCATGGTCGGCAAGAGTCCTAACCACTGTGCCACCGACGCACAGTGAAGCTTTGGCTGTCGAAAGAGAGAAGCCAGATCTCTATGTACAAGAAACGTTCGTTCAACCCCTTCAACTTTCATGGTCTTAATCCCTCTATGCTAAAGGATGATAATCCCCAATCATATTTAGCTCTACCAATTTTTCATTTTTCATTTTGTCTATTCAGTTTGTATTCTCTTCCTTTATTGCGTCAATTGTTACTACTACTATTCTCCCTTTGAACTGTCCCCGGTATTATTTCACTTGTTCCACTTGTCATTCTAAATCAATTCTGTGTTGCAACGTTAAATTTTATATTATCAAATTTCACACAATATTACGTAACGTTTTTATTTTATTCCATTTGTCTACTAATCCTGTAATTGCACCCCCTTTTCCAAGTTCTATCTATCCTATGAATTATTTTATACATATGACATTAATTGTTTTGCCCCTTGACATTTAACTACCATTATAATCACAAGCACTTTAGTTTCAACTGCATTTCATACTATAATTATTATTATTTTATGCATTCACACCTAAGATTCAATTCCCTCACCGGATATAACTTCTTAAAAACCATATATACATGATTGTACAGCTTGATGATAAATTCGTTGAAAAGAGTCTCTTCGCTGAATTGCATGGAGGATCTCACCAAGAACTCGTATCAGTTAGAAAGCCACTGGAAAACCTGGGAGTACTATACAGCTGTTTCGTCCTAGTTTGGGACTCTTCAGCAGTACGCACCCACCCCATTTAGGGTTCGGACCCAGAACCTTCTGGTTACAAGGCGAGCTCGTAGACCATTGAGCCACTGGGACCCGATCCAATGATCCTTGAATTCTAACTTCTGCCAATTCACGACATAGCGCGACCATTTCGCAGTGTCTTCTTCGATGAGTTACTGCCTAACCTTCAATCTGCTGTACCCTACTGGTCACAGCTTCCCACTAGAACCCCGGGTTAACTGCCGGAATAGGGCCAGTCACTAGTGAGCATCAGATTAATTTTCAAGTAAGAAAAGCCTGAATTATGCACACAGAAGAAACTTCTCCACCCCCCCTACTACCGTGGGTTTAATTTCAAGTTCATCTGTCATCAACATTTTGTTATCAAATTTTTTTTCAATATTCGTATAATATTTTAGTAAATAACCCATTCAATCTTTTCACCTATTATCTCGTTTATTTTCATAATTGTCTCCATACTCCTTCACGAACATCTAATCTTTCTAAACATGTCTATATTACGTAACCCTACTCACATCTTACCAATTTTCACCCCACTTAGTTACAACTTTGATTATTAATCACACATTTTAATTTCTATATTATTTTGATGACGTAACCCAACTCACATCTTACCAATCCCCACCCACTTAGTTACAACTTTGATTACTATTCACACAATTTAATTTCTTTATTATTTTGAAGATGTAACCAATAACCCACACTAACTGTTATTTTGATTTTGATTTGACAAACCTTATGTACACACACACAAAATTAATTGTATATATTTGCGACTGTACAGCTAAGAGAATGAATTCGCCGAAAAGAGACTCTTCGCTGAACTAATTTGTTTGGTTTTGTAGGGATTTTCTTTGAAATCCTCCATGCAATCAAACAAAATGCCTACAAAACCAATACTTCGCTGAATCACTTGTTTTGATTATCCAGAAGTTAAAAATTACTCCAGATAATAGGATGAAATAGAGATGGGCTGTAGAAGCTCAATGCTCCACTCGGAACCAAAAACATAGAAGCATTTCTGGATTAGGTAACTTACCGACATTTTTTGATGACAAAGAGGTTTCCTGATTTCTACTGTCTGTATTCAAATTAACTGGTAAGAATTCGAAATAAGGATAACTGTATAAAAAGAAATATAAATGAAATGAGAGTTACTCTTGTTATTTTGAAAAAACAAAAAGTACTTTAACAATATGAATGGTCTGAAAGCTCATTTTACGAAATAATCCCGTAAAAATTGACACGTTAAAGATTCAAATTGAACAGATAGATTTCATCGTACTTGACATGGTTTTTGCATTAGGAATCAAGATTAATTGAGGAGATATTATTATCCAAAAACTGCCGAATGGTTGCTTTTTTCTCCTTCACGTTCCCCGGTGGAACATAGAGCCTCAAGCTAGTGGCTTGAGGTTTCTGTAGCAATGTTTATTTGACAGGATATACAGGTTGCTAGCCTCATGCCCAAACTTTCCTCTTTACCAGTATTATTTCTTGCTTAGTGAAGTAAAGGAGTGCGTCGGCGAGGGATCGAACCCCGGACCATATGCATGGTTGGCGAGTGTCCTAACCGCTGTGCCACCGACGCACGAATGGTTGCTTAGTGTTATTTAAAGACTCTTAGAGGATTCCCATGAGACATTTAGTCTTGAGATGGACATACGTCTAAAGAATCGGAATCTGGGTTTCTAAAACAATAGGACAAATGAATTCTAATCGTACTCATCACCTTTTAGGCTTTGTTCCGCCTAATTCTTCAACCAACTGTCTTCTTATCTCTAATGCTTACAATGAATTCTAACAAAAAAGTTATCCAGCTAAAGGTAGAATTGAGCGTTTATTAGACGTATCACACAGTGAAACAGTATTATTTACTGGATGACAAAGTTCCGAATACAGTTCATTATTGTTCGTAGACCTATAGTTGATTTTAGAAATTCACCTACTCATGAATTGTCGAAATATTTAACCGTGGTAATAAATCCCCTCTTAAAAACCACTCGAAATCTAGACTAACTAATTCTTATGAACTAAAACATAGATTAGATAATTTAAAATTAGATAATGAAGAGAAAATGGTTAGTTTTGACATTGTCAGTTTATATACACGTATACCAGTAAATATGGCTATAGAGGCAGTCATAAACGAAGCCATTTCTGATCAAGAACTCAAACTTCGGACAGAAGTGCCACTTGATGACATAATGCTGAGAGTGCAGCTATACATGTCTTCTACAGTATTTAAACTCCAAAGGAAAATATACAAACAAACTGAGGGAGTTACCGCCATGAGATCAACAATATCTCCGGTTGTAGCAGATATATTCATGAATAGGTAGGATAACATAGCGATTGAAACGTTCACCCCCACCCACCACAAAAGTATGGTGGAGGTATGTAGGTGACACATTCACTGTACTTAGAACACAAGATATAGATAGATTTTTCGAACACATCAACTCGAAGGTAGAGGCTATTCAATTCACTTATGAATTGAAAAGTCAGGAAGAGGAACTTCCAATGTTAGATTGTAGCGTAAAAAGGAAAGAAGATGGGAAGTTAAACACTAGTGTGGGTTTACAGGATATCTAGACAGATATCTGGACTTCCGTTCATCCCATCCTATATCAGTAAAAATAGGATTAGTGAAATGTTTAAGTGACAGAACACAAAAACTAAGTAGTACTAAGGAAAATCTAAGACAGGAAGTGACACACATAAAAGAAGCCTTGAAACTTAAGAATTACCCGGATAAATTAGTCAGTAAATATGTAAGGAAATGTAAAAATAGTTATAGTGATAATAATAATAAAAATATTAATGACGACATTCATGTCAAAAATGCGCAAGACAACACCAACAATAAGGAATCTAAATCATCAGTAGTAATTCCATACCAGGAAGGAACCTTGGAAACCGCACGCAGAATTCTTAACAAGGCGGAAATAAAAGTGGCTGGCACTCAAATCCACAAACTCAATTAGAAACACGCTTTGTCATTTAAAGGATCAATCCTGTGGAACCTTAAAACAAAACAATTTAGTTTATCTAATACCCTGCCTGACTTCAATGATTGTCAGGTCAAATACATAGGTCAAACTAGTAGAACAGGGGCAGTCAGAATATCCGAACATAAAAACCTAGCTAAATCTAGATTAGTTGACCTAAATACGATAAAAAATCTGGAGAATAGTTCAACAGCTATAGCACTCACTACATGCAATTACAAGATGACAGTTTTAAAATCTAATGTCACAGGTTGGAAGGAGGGAGAGATTGATAACAGAAGCTTTGTTTATTGATACAACTGTAAATACATGTGACAGGAATGATTCAACACCTGTCCACGCGGATGTCTGGAGAATTCTACTACCCCAACGACGACAAATAGGAGAGAACAAAGAAAACTATAAAACTCAAGTTTCGAAGTTGTGTGATTATAATTTATATGATTATGAACAATAAATCTTGTTCGAAACTGTGTCATCCAGTAAATAATTCTGTTTCACTGTGTGATATATCTAATAAACAAACTAATATGGAATCGCTCACTACCACAGTACCCAAGTTTTACAGATATATTAATATAATTGAGCTGTATATGAATTCAGAATTTTGTTGATTTATAAAACTTAAACCATGAATACAATTCACATAGATTCGTGTCTCTTGGCCTTTCAACTACTTATCAAACCTTGCCTTTAGTGGACAAAGGTATTAGGTTAAAATAGAAGGCTAGATAAGCTTAGGGTGGTGTGGTAAAGACAATATCTTCCATCTGAACGTTATTCTCTCATATTCTCACAGTTGCAAGTTTTCTAGCCGGTCCCAAGGCTGGGTAGAGAGGGAGGGTTGAGCATAAGGTTAGCAGCCCTACACCATTAAACCTATCAAACAACTAGAGAAACTTAAACACACAAAAAATATATTAAAAATACAAAAAAATTCAAAGAGTGATCTTATTTTTCTCCCGAATCAGAGAGGCAAAACGACACAGCGGGCTGATGAAAGCTGGAACTTCGGAAGCCAATCAGCCAGTCATTGTGTCTTCTCTCGATGAAAGCAAGAACAATAATGGGACGTAGAATGTCCGTATAATGTACGAGACTGATAAGGCTACCCAGGTAGCCAAAGAAATGAGAATATATGGCATAAAAGTGATGGGTATCTGCGAAAGCAGATGGAATGGATGTGGGCTGACAACATTGTCAATCGGAGAGTCAGTAATTCACTCCGGTCACCCAGATGACAATCACAAACACACTGAGACAGTGAGTGGCTTTAATAGTGTCACCAGTGGCAGCTAAAGCCCTAATGCAGTGGGAACCAATTTCATCCTTCAGGATCATAACATCAAGATTCAGCTTGAAAGGCAGGAAGGAAGGTCACAATTATCCAATGCTACGCACCCACAAACAACTCGGAACAAGAAAAGAAGGAGGATTTTTACAGACAACTTAAAAACAGTAATGGACAACATCCCAAATGGTGACATCAAAATCCTCATGAGAGATATGAATGCCAAACTGGGAGCAGACAATGCGGAAGAGAACTCATCATTCGTCGAGAGGCTCTCACTCTGAGAAATGAATGAGAAGGGAGAGTTATTCACAGACTTCTGCGCTCGGAGGAAGCCTGTACAAACATAAGGATATACACGAAGCAACATGGGTTTTGCCTGATGGACATACCACAAAACAGACAGATTTCATCTCAGTGCTACTCAAGGAAGTGGAGACGCAGCCTGCTGGATACAAAGTCGAGAAGAGGAGAAGATGTGGGCCCACTCAGACCATCATCTAGTTTAAGGACCCCTCAAAGTGAAGCTGAAATTCATGAAAACAAATGGAGACAGACCAAAATTCAAGTTCAACATTCAGAAACTGAAGGACACAACAACAATGGATTCCTTCGCTACAGATTAATCAGAGAGAAGTCGGATGCACTACGTGGCATTACTGAGGAAACCTGGGTTAGAACTTTGGAAATCCCTGAAAACGATATTTAAGGAAACATGTACAACTGTTCTAGGAAGAAAGAAGAGATAAAATAAGGAATGGCTGTCAACGGATACCTGGAAGTTAATCGAGAAGAGGAGGATGGTGAAAGAGAAGATGACTGAATGCCAAGATGGACAACAGAAGAAGACGCTGAGGTCAATGTACACTGCACTGAATAAAGAGGTGAAGAAGAGTGGTAAAAAGACAAAACACAATTCTACGAAACACTTGTTATCAACTAAAGAAGAACAGGCAGGTCACAGGTAAAAGAGACCTAAGGACACAATACCAGATGACCAGGTCTCTATCTTGGAAGAGATCAACCAAGATGATGACACTAATAAAAGACGCCCAAGGGAACTTGATTACGAAGGAAAAGAGAGAAATAAATCAATGAGCTGATTACTTCAAAGGATTCTTGAATCGATATCACCTGCAACTCCCTCAGAAATACCACCGACAGCACGCACGGAACTATCAGTGAACACCAATCCTCCAGCGAAAACAGAAATCTTAAATGCAATCAAGCGCTATTGAAGACCGGAAAGACAGCAGGATTAGTTGGAATTCCCCTTTGAAACACTGGAAACGGATCCAGAGACTGTGGCTGATGTGTTCACGCCATTAATGCAAAAAAAGGTTGGGAAAGAAGGAAAGTTACCAAAAGACTGGCTACCCTGTCAAGCTGCCAAAGAAAGGCGACTTAGGTCTGTTCAAGAACTGGTGTGAAATCACGTTGTTGTCCACACCAAGTGAAATACTAAGTCGCATCATCCTGGAGAAAATAAAGGATGGACTGGATACAGAACTTCGCCACCCACCGGAACAACCTGGGCTCAGGAAAGGCAAATCCTGTGCTTATCAAATCACAACTCTACGTACCATCATTACAGAACAAAGCATAGAATGGCAGACAAACCTACCTCTGCCTCTAATTTATCGACTTCGAGAAGTTCTTCGATAAACACCTTCAACCATGGAGTAATTTGTAAACTACTTCAATCTCATTCAACAGCTGGCTATATGATAATGCTTGCCGCGTGTCAGGTAATCTACGACGAAAAACTCAGTGAGGCCTACGAAGCGCATACAGGTGTAAGACAAGGTTGTATACCTATTATCATAGGTGATATTCTTAACTGTGGTGGACTGGATTATGCGTCAGACTGTGCGTTGAGAGAGAGAGAGAGGAGTCAGGAATACGCTGGATCACCGATAAGAAGACTCTGAAAGATCAGGATTTCGCGCGTGAATGATTTCTGTTTAATGTCAAACAAACTAGAAGACTTGAAGGCCAAAACCAACAAACTGGCTGAAGAAGGTGGTAGCGAAGATAGTACTTCAGGTGAACATAGAGAAGACGGAGTTGGTGAAGATAACCAACGAACCGCAACAACAACAACAACAGCAAGCAGCAGTAATCACCGTCAACGAGAGAGATTTAACAGTGGTTAATTCCTTCATTTATCTAGGAGGCATCGTTTCAACCAAAGGCACACGGCACGGATGAAGATGTCGAAACCAGAGTGGATGGGAAAGGCAAGATACACGCCTTCATCAACCTGAAACCATTTTGCAAATCTTCTGCTTCCCTCACTTAGCCAGCCAGCATAAACAACAAGATTTGCATTTTAAACACCAATGTCTATTCGGTTAGTGCTTCTATACGGGTGAAAAACTTGGCAAGCGTGTCATGAAAAGGATTTCCAACAACATGTTGCAGACCTTTATCAACACGTACCCCCGCCTCCCTTCGCTGGCTCCATACTGAAGATCAAATGGCCGGTTAGCCGACCAGAGACAAATAGCAACAAGATACTCTGGCTGGCAACAAACTGACCGAGAGCTGATTTATCAACAAATATATAGGGGAAAATGCAGATGGACTGATCGAGCATACGCCACTGAGTAGGCTGTCGAATGACATCACGCTCAGTGCAGGCCAGTGCTCGAGTGGAATCTCAATGAGCAGCCACTAGTGGTTTTTCAGTGTGAGAGTGATACGGAGAATATCGTGTAAGTTTGAGGAGGAGATGTGAGAGATTGTGGGCATTCGTGGAGCTATCCAACTGAACAGGACTGTAGAAAATAGTTTATTTATTTTCGCTAGTCATACTGTAACAACAGAAGACAAGGGCCAGGCAACAGATCATCTGCATGTTAACTATATCCGCCTACGCAAAGCCTTTGTTCTCATTTTTCTCACGACCAATATTGGGGACATAAACACTGACGTAAATTACTGTCCACCAACTTTGGCTAACAGTCAGCTCTCACCACAATACTAGTATTTCTTAGCAAAAAATAAAGTTTCATTAGGACAAATGAATTCGAAATGTATTCATTACCTTTTAGGCTTTGTTTCATTTAATTCATTGACTAACTGTTTTCTTATCTCTTCAAACTGTTGAGTTCTATTGACATCTTCATCGATTTGTTCTGTCTCCTCTGAAGTCAACGTCTTTATAACTGTTTCAATAGCTTGTTCATTTTCATGTTTCTTATTAATATTATTATTTTCATTGTTATTATTATTATTATTGCTACTATCACTTTCTTTATTTACCGCAGGTTCAACTATTTCACTTGTAGACTGATTCTTATCGCCTTTTTTCTTACGACCACCTCCAGTGCCACCTCCTGTGGATTGTTGTACTGTTGTAGCAGAATTGTCTTTACCAGCCGGTTTCCGTTTAGACGACTTTGCATTTCGAGGTTGACGTTTCGTTTGGACAGGTGAATTAGTTTCTGTTGGAGGCTCGTTTACCACTTTGAAAAAATAAGGTATATAATAAAGACATACAACTAGCTGGCATGTGTATGAATAATTATATTTTATATTAAATAATGTAACAGACAGTGACGGGCAACGACGAAACAGGCATAAAATGGACCCACACAAAAAACTTGGAGGATCTAGATTTCATCGATGATATATGTGTCTGATTTCCCACAAACTGGAAGATATGCAAGTAAAAAGCAACAAGTTGACAGAAGAAGCATCCAGAGAATATACGACTTCAGGTGAACATAGAGAAAACAGGGATAGGTGATGGCCAACAGCAACAACAAGAACACACATCAATTAACATAAATGGGAAGAGTCTGAAAAACCAACCTCCTTTACCTACCTGTCTTCCTGGGAAGCATCGTTTCAACTACAGGAGGATGGAACTCATGAGGATATCACAGCAGTGAGGATCGAGAAATCAAGGCAAGCTTTGATTACTCTCAAGTTTATATGGAAGTCAACACCACTACTCAGCATGAAAATGTAAATAAGATCCGGGTTTTCAACTCCATTGTAAAGTCAGTGCTACTCTACACGGATCAGAGACTTCGCGCTGCGCCACACCACGAAGGCCACTTCGAACAAACTACAGGCCTTCACCAACAGCTGCCTTCTCTGAATACTACTCAAGATTAGTTGGCCAGCCAGAAAACGTCAACAATAGGGACCTCTGACAATGAACGAACCAACCTAGCAGGATCCAACTGGGCAACATATATGCAGGAAGAAATAAATGGAGGTAGATTGACCCTACTATGAGAAAACAAATCATGATCATGTGAAATCACACGCCAGGCCATCGCCCGAGTGGAACTCGAATGAGAAGCCGCGATTTGGTCGCCAGTGTGAGGGCGACATGGAAGAGGGCACGTGAAGAGAAGATGAAAGCATGTGGACAGACATGGAGTCAGGTGAAAACGTTAGTGGAAAATTGGAGGGAATGAAGAAGTGTGACTGCAGCAGTATGTTCCTCTAGGAACTAAAGGAAACAATAATAATATCATTATTAAATAAGTAATATATTATATTATATGAAAAATTGGATTATTCACGAAGTGATTGATGTAGAACTGTCAGTTAATCAACAGTAATGAATTTGCTTAACTTTATCATTATTATTACTGATTATTATTGTTCCCTTAGATTCCGAGAGCAACACAGGGCTTCTATAGCACATGTCAAGTTCATCCTATTCTCACCAGTCTTCTTTAGATGGTTTCAGGATTTACCCTAAGCTTTAGTATTCTCCTCTCGCAATCTCCACGTGCATCTAGACGCCAAAATTGTCGTCCCCCACAGAGGTTTCCCAGGAGGTCTAGCATGCAATGTCACTCCATAATCTCCTCAGCGTGTATCCAATCCATCTTCAACTTTTTTGGAATAGTTGATGGCGTAATAGGTCGTTCTTTGGTTCGTTTCTAGAATTCCCTTCTGTTAATCTTTTCTAGTTATATCATCTTTTTACGAGTTGATTATTATTATTATATTATTATTGTATCCTTCAGTTCCTAGAGGAACATAGGGCTTCAGCTGCGCACCTCCATTGCCTTCTGTTTTCTGCCAACTTTTTCACCCCGCTCCAGGTCTGTCCACATGCTTTCATCTCCTCCTCGCATGACCTCCTCCAAGTCACCCTTGCACTGACGACCAACTCGCCGCCTCCCTTTCGGGTTCCACTCGAGCAATGGCTTGTCTAGTGATGTCACTTGATGGTTTCCTCAGAGTATGGCCAGCCAATCCATCTGCATTTCTTCCTGCCTATTTGTTTCACAATCGGTTCCTGCTGGGTTGGTTCGCTCCCAGAGATCCCTGTTGCTGATCTTTTCTGGCTGGCCATCTGATCTTGAGTATTGAGCGAAGACAGCTGTTAATGAAGGTCTGAAGTTTGTTTGAGATGCTCTTTATGATGCGCCAAGTCTCTGATCCGTATGTATAGTAGCACTGACTTTGCATTGGAGTTGAAAATCCGGATCTTATTTTTGATGCTGAGTGGGGCTGTTGACCTCCACACAGATTTGAGAGTAATGAAAGCTTGTCTTGCTTTTCTGATTCTGGCTTTGATATCCTCGTCAGTTCCACTGGCCTGTAGTTGAGACGATGCTTCCCAGGTAGGTGAAGGAGGTTGTTTCTTTCAGGTTCCTCCCATTTATACTGGCTGATTGTTGTCTGTTGTTGTTGATGATGTTGATGTTGGCTAGGAATCAGTTAGAGATATCAGTTAGAGAACTATTGAAAACCAGGGGGTACTGCACAGCCAGCTGTTTCATCCTAGTTTTGGGAATCATCAGCATTACTCACTTACTGACTGGGATTCGAACCCAAAACCTTCTGGTTAAAAGGTAAGGTTGTAGACCATTCACCCACTGGGATCCAACTCTTCAATGGCCAGTTCAATTCAAATGTGAAGTTGGGATGTCCCACCGACGACATGGATTGGTGCCCCAGTCACGCTAAATCACGAATTGGCAGAAGTTAGAATTCATGGGCTGGCCAGCGAATCGGGTCGCAATAGCTGAATGGTATACGAGCTCGCCTTGTAACTGGAAGGTCATTAGTTCGAACCCCTGCAGTGCATGAGTACTGCCAATGATTCGCAGTCTAGGATGAAATACCACGATACACCCACTGACTGGGCATTGGTTTTCAGGAGAACCAAACACACGCATCCTTGCCTCTTGCGAGACAAGAACGGCATGCAGGATCAACCTGTGGCGCAACCACTCGAGAGCCCTCTCCCTCGGTGGATGAAACAGTTGTCCAGTGCTCCCTGTGGTTGCTTTTCAACGGTTCTCTAACTGATATCAAATTCATGGTCAAACTCGTATAAAGAAATCTAATCCTCATTGACCATGTGCTTCGGTGGTGTAGCGGTTAGGACGCTCGCCGGCCGTGTATGTGGTCCGGGGTTCGATCCCCGGCCGGCGCGCTCCTTTACCTCACTGAGCCAGAAATAATGATGGTAAAGAGGAAAGGTTGGGCATGAGGCTAACAACCCCATCCTGTAAAAATTAAGCACTGCTACAGAAACTTCAAGCCGCTAGCTTGGAGCCCTATGTTCCACTGGGAACGTGAAGGAAAAATCATTATTTTATTATTCTTTAATCCTTACAAATCAAATATTAAAAAGATGATTTACCCAGTGAGATGTGACACTACTGTCACAAGAAGGTGTGAATAGGCTTCCATCGATCCTAAGCCATCTCCATAAGCCTAGATAGCCAGAAAAAGTTAGCATTTCATGTAAGCTAACCTTAACCACGAACGACAACGAAGTAATCAACATAAGTCAACCAAACGAAAATCAATTTCTTACTAAATGTTACCTTAAAAAAAATCTTTTTTGTTTTGAGATAAATTTAGTGTAAGTTTTATGATTAGAATACTTACGTTTGACAAGTTCAAAACTATTCACAACTCCTTGAGTAGTAATCACATTAGCGGTTCTTCTTCTATTTCGACTACTTGAGCCTTAGGTGGATTTATCAAACACGATGGATACTTCCGATGCTCAATAAATGCCAGCTGACTTGCTTCAGAAATTGCATCAGTGTATAAATGAGTAGAGAAATTTGAATAGTTAAGAAGACCAGTCTTTTCATTAACTTGTTTCAGTGCAACTGCTATCGATTTGCAAGCTGGACCTAACCATTATGTATACAAAATTGAAAAAAACAGTTTTTAGAAATAAGCTACTTTTATTTATTAAGTAGTTGATATGTAAATGCTAAAAACCTTTGTATGAATTGTGATCAAGATTTGACTGAATAGTTCCGCAATAATTGGGCGCTGAATTAAAAGTAGACATTTGTAAAAATTATATTTGTAAAATCTCAACGGAATTGAAATGAATAATTCCAACGTTTCGTTGGGTAATCTGGTCCGAACTTCTGCAAGGAAATTAGTCGACATTAACATAACAGAGGTTTATAAATACAAAAAGGTCATCTCTTGTTTATATTTACCTGTCTGGAAGTTTCTCCTTTATAATATGGCGTCTTAGTCGCTAAAATTGATCTGGTACACACAATCCTGTTGGTTGTCTTCTTCTATTTTATTATCCTTAACCTTCACCAGTGGTGAGCCTAAGGTATTCGTTGCAAGAAAATACACTCTTATGTCATGAGTGTTGAGGATTCGCTTTATCTCATCCGGTTTTTCTTCGAGGTAAGAAATTTCCACTCTACAGCTGTCAAGTCATCCTTATCTTGGGCTTTGGAGAGGTAATTATTTGGTTCAAGAGTAGACTGAACCAATTTTAGCTCCCTGTTGATCTTCTCTTCCTCAGTAACTTGACGTTTGGCTGTGTTAATAGGATTATTTGCCACTATTACTTTAGTGGTAAAGGAATGCGCTGAATGATAGTCTAGGCATCTGTCCGAATGTATTAGCTTCCATGACCCATATGACTGGAAAACGTTTTTAAAAACAAGAGATGTCCTTTTTATATATAACCTCCCTAGAGAATGAGCTAGGATACATCCAAAATACGTTAGTCCAAATGGGTTATCCTAGTAGATTTGTCAGGAGACACATGAATGCTAAGTACAATAAAGAGAAACCGACAACAGTTAAAAAGAAACAACTGTTCATCAAACTGCAATTTAATGGGGACGTGGTTAGTGAAGTCTTACATCAGAGATTATCGAGAGCGATAAAACGGACTTATACTGCCGCCACCCTCTGTTTGTCATTTTCCAGCCGGCCAATTTTGATTGCTCAAGTGAAAGATAAGTTACCTAGTTGTGCCACTTCCATGTGTATCTATAAATTTAGTTGCTCCTGTGGAGAAAGCTATATAGGCCGAACAACTAGACAACTTAACAAACACATTAATGAGCATCTTCCTTCATGGTTCGGAAAAGGTCAAATAAAATCCATACGAAGTCCTCTTTTGGCTCATTTGATTGATAGTGGTCACCAAGTGGACAAAAATAGTGCTTTCAAAGTCATCGAACTAAGAAAGAGATAGAAAATAAGAAAGCACCACGCTAGGGAGAGACAAATATAGAACAAACTTCTTTTGTATGCAGAGGCGCTAGAATTGTTTTCTCGAATCGATTCCCATAGTTTTGGCTGTGTGTGAAAGGCGGGTTCGAATTGCATTCAAAAGATTCTATGGAATGCGATAGACAACCTTGAAGATGTTTCTTATGCCTACTTGGTGACCACTATCAATCAAATGAGCCAAGATAGAACTTCTTATAGATATTTTCGACCTTTTCCAAAGCATGAAGAAAGGTGTTCATTAATGCGTTTGTTGAGCTGTCTAGTTGTTCGCCCCCATATAGCTGTCTCCACAGGAGCAACTAAATTTGTAGATACCCATAGAATTGTCACAGCTAGGTAATTTGTCTTGATTGCAATTCTAATTGGCCGGCTCAAACGAAAGGCAAGGTTCAATTTACTTCATAATATCTTCAACCCCTTGTTTGGTTTGGTTTTTTCTTTCTTTCTTACCCACACACACACCGTTGCGTCATCTCCCTAACTCTTATTTATGACCCTAACATGTACACAGTCTGACCCATATTGCCTAATATTTCATGCCTCTTTGCCGTCTATATAACTGTGTGTGTGTCACAAGTAATAATAATAATAATAATAATTTCGCTTATGTTCCAGAAACAGTACTTGGTGGTACAGCGTGGAATTTTCAGCACATATTTACAATATTGCATCCAATTTCATCGCACATTTAAAAGAAGTATTACAAAAAATAATAAATATAAAAAACAACAACAAAAACCAAAAAGAAACACAAAAATAACAAAAAATGCAAATAAAAATACCAAGTAGAAAGGAAGATAAACACCAATAATGAAAAAAATATTTCAGTATTTGCTAGTGGAAGCTATGATATGTGTATGCGTGGTGTACAGTAACAGCTATTATCAAATTATGAGATGTTCTTAAGAATGTTTATAGCCAAGATGATCAGTTAATTTGATTGAACTACACTAAACAATCATAAAATAAACATTTCAGGTTTTTTTATTTTTATTGTCAGCACTAATGCGGTGTTTGTTGTGGTAGTGTGAGGAATCCTGCATAATACAAAATTTTAAGATGGTGATAGTGGCAATAACAAACAAGATTGTCAGTTAAATAGTGCCGAACAAAGAACAACCACAAAAATAATGTTACATGATGGTTAATGACAGGACAATTTTGTAATAATCATAGTGGTAATATAGTCGGACCCAGTAGATATACAAAAGAAGGAATAGAGTAAAGTACAAAAAAAGTAACCCAATGATAATAATTTTAAGTAGCTAAGTATGTTTAAGAAGGTTGTTCACTATAGAGTACAAATAAGAGAGTATAAGGGGGAAATAACAAGGGCCAAAATTATGTTATTAACAACAAATCAAGTCATAGGTTTCACGCTTAACATTGTCTCTGTCACTTAGAACACGGGCTGGCCAAATATGGTATCGTTGAATTCCTATGCTTGGTTGTACGAGCATATATTATTCTGTACTGATTTCTGGTTCTACCTGATAAGATGCAAGGAGAGGCTTGGGAATAGAAAGGGTGTTGGGGGTCCGAGAGTATGGTTTTAGACCATTTTTGGCATGTATTCAGATGCTTATCTACTAATGTAGTGACGAGCTGACTGGGTTTTACACCACTATTCTTACTAACTACCTTCAACATCCTTCTCAGGATGGTAAAATCTCCTTTTTCAGTAGCCCTGGAAAGACTTATGAAGAGCAGTAAAGTAGAATAGATAAGAAACAAGAATTGACAAATTGTGAAAGTAGAGGTTGGGTGATTACAGATAGTCTAGATTTCTTAATGTAGTAGGTAAGGCGGAACACTTTCTTAGAAATCGTTTTGATATGAGATGACCAAGTAAGGTCGGACGATAGAACTCTAGTCCGAGGTATTTTGCATTAGACTGGTGTGTGTGTGTGTGATGAGAATGTCCGAAATGTGTTGTGCAAATACAGCATTACACGTTTCAGATAAACTACGTCTTTTTATTGTGTTGTTAAAATTCATAAAGGGAACTAATTGCTTTAAACTTTTGAAAACTAAACCAAAAAAAATGTCTCCACATTAACTTGAAACATGACAAAGGTCAAGAGAAGCGTTGGACTATCTTACCTGACGGTAAATTTGGATATCTAATTCTACCGGCTAGTATAGGTGAACTAACTTGTAAATGACTTTCATAATAAACTTTGCGTTCATTTAAATTAACCGCCATTTCCTAAAATAAAATAAAAATTTGATAAGATTTGATTTATGGAATGAAATATTTGTAAACAAAAAATCGATTATATTTAAAACTAGAAATAAAGTAACTGGTAAAGTATGCTGAAGCTGCCTATTATCACCGACGACGATATTCCTAGTTCAAGTGATGGTTTGTAGGAATTTGATTAATTTCAGGATTTCATCATGAGCTGACATTAGTTAGAGAACCATTGGAAAACCTGGGAATACTGGACAGCTGTTTCCGTCCTAGTTTGGGACTCTTCAGCAGTACGCATCCACCGGGATTCTCTAACTAATGTCAGCTCATGATGAAATCCTGAAACCAATCAAATCCCTACAAACCATCACTTGAACTACCAATGAGATGCTCACTGGCGACTGGCCCCATTCAGGTAGGTAGTTACCTGGGTTCCAGTGGAAAGTCGTGACCAGTAGGGTGCAGCCGGTCGGGTGTGAGGACAAATACTCGCCGAAGACATTGGCTAGCGGTTGCGCTATGTCGTGAAATGTGAGAAGTTAGAATTCAAGGACCATTGGATCGAATCCCAGTGGCTTAATGGTATACGAGCTCGCCTTGTAACCGGAACGTCCTGGGTTCGAATCCCGGTGGGTTTGTACTGTTGGAGAGTCCCAAACTAGGACGAAACAGCTGTCCAGTACTCCCTGCAGGTTTTCCAATGGTTCTCTAACTAATGTCAGCTCATGATGAAATCCTGAGACGATATTCCTAATTGTGGTGGACTGGTTTATGCGTCAGACTGTGTGTGAGTCAGGAGCGAGGAGACAGGAATACGCTGGATCACCGATAAGAAGACTCCAGAAGATCTGGACTTCGCACGTGGATGATATATGTCTGATGTTACACACACACACACACAAAACCCGAAAACTTGCAGGCGAAAACCAACAAACTGGCTGAAGAGGCGAAACACGCAGCGAAGACGGGACTCCAGGTGCACACTAAGAAGACGGAGGTGATGAACATAACCAACGAACTACAACAACAACAGAAACGAGCCGTAATCACCATCAACGAGAGAGATTTAACAGAGGTTAACTCCTGCCTTCACTTATCTAGGAAACATCATTTCAACCACAGGCAGTCGGACAGTCATAGCCAGCCAGTCAGTCAGAATCAGAAGGGCAAGAGATATGCCTTCATCAACCTGAAATTAGTATGGAAATCTTTCACTTTACTCACTCAGCCAGCATAAAGAACAAGATTCAGATTCTGTTCAATACAAATGTCAAGACTGATCCTTCTATACAGGTCAGAAACTTGCACTGAAGGTCACGGAGAGGATTTATAACAGGCAACTCAGACTTTCATCAACAGCTGCCCCTCTTCACTAGCTCCATACTGAACATTAAATGGTCAGCCAGCCAGTCAGCCAGCCTACCAGAAACAATTAGTAACAAGAAACTCCAGCTGAGAATAAACCAACAGGTCAGAGACCATCGCTCAAAATTGTGTAGGGGAAAAAGTGAAGACGAGTCGGGCATACACTGAGGAAATCGTCGAATCACATCGTGCTGAATGCAGGACATTGCTTGACTGGAATCAAAATGGGAAGTGATGAGTGGGTCGTCGGTGCAAGGGTGACATTTAGGAGATGGTGTGAGCAAGAGATGGATGACATAGTTTGGACAATCGTGGAGTTAACCAGCTGAAGAGGATGGCAGAAAATAGAACAAAGTGGAGATGTGCTCAGGTTAAAGCCTTTTGTTCCACTCGGAACTCAAGGGAACAATAATAGTAATAAAATATGCTGAAGATCACATGTCTAAAAGGGATAAGCATCAAGGAATTCCGGCAGCTAACCAACTAAGAATCTGTTGACCAATCAATATATAAAAGGGAGTGGAGATGGACTAGACACATGTTGAGGAGGCTGCTGAGTGACATTGTGCCAGGCCCTTGAGTGGAGTCTGAATGAAAAGAGACGACTTTAGACATGGTTCCAAGGATAATATGGAGGATGTCATGTAAACAGAGGATAAAAGCTTATAGTCGATGGCGGAGACAACTAAAAAAGACTCCAGAGAAGCGGATGTTCCATTTTGAACCCAGGGAGACAACAATAATAATAACAGAGCATAAACCATATTATCCGTCGAGGCGATACTGAGGGGAGAAAGTGAAGACTGATTAATAAGTGATAAGGAAGCCCATCAACCATCTAATGCACCATCTATGTATATATATATATGATCATCACATCATTTAATTATCTGAGATGATGTTGTAACAACAGAAGACAAGGGCCAGGCAACAGATCGTTTTATTATGAAAATCAACACGTATTTATACATATTTCACATACATTATTATAGCTTATTCAAGTAGACAAGCGCGGTCATCTGATTGGTTGTTTAGACAGACAAACGCAGGCTTCTGATTGGTTGTTTCGGGATTCCTCGACAAATAGAGTTCACTATCTGCGAATCATATTTTGCCACGTTAACTCTGCTGTGATTGGTTGTTGAATCAGCCTTGCTCATATTTTCTCACGGCCTGCTCTCACCACACTCGTCCCCCCGTCAAATACGTGCGACTGAAGTCGGCTTGATCTACTTGATGCAGGCGTCATCGTTGGCTTGTCTCACTGTATCCATTTCTGGAGCTCGCTGACGTTCACGCGCCTCTCACTGTTCGTCATTGCGATTGTGTCCGCGTAATCCCATCTCGAAGTGACGATATGTGGTCCTTCCCACTTTGGAAACTGTTTGCCTGACCCTGTCGAACATTCGTCAGTATTTCGTCTCACACTTTCATATGCTGCTTTCACCCGACCTCCCAGCAGCGTCCCAAGTAGCAGCTCCATCGCTGACAGATCTTGAACGCCACTCGACTGCGCAGAAGCCTTGAAGTCCTGCCCGAAGATCCATATGTCTCCATCAAAAACAGCAGGGCGTAGGCTTTCCATTTGTCGGTAGGCAGCGACACCAAATGTAACAACAGAAGACAAGGGCCAGGCAACAGATCGTTTTATTATGAAAATCAACACGTATTTATACATATTTCACATACATTATTATAGCTTATTCAAGTAGACAAGCGAAGTCATCTGATTGGTTGTTTATCAGAAGTTAGGCAGACAAACGCAGGCTTCTGATTGGTTGTTTCGGGATTCCTCGACAAATAGAGTTCACTATCTGCGAATCATATTTTGCCACGTTAACTCTGCTGTGATTGGTTGTTGAATCAGCCTTGCTCATATTTTCTCACGGCCTGCTCTCACCACAATGTGACCAACAGGTACACAGTTTACAGAGTGTTAAGGATAGTAGGCTTTAGCGTTATATTAACTCTTCTGACAAGCTTTAGGGTGAGGATCCAGTGTTGTTTGAATGGATCGCTAGAAGCTGGTGATATGATGTGTTCTGGAGATTTACAATCCAATAAGAGAAACAAATTTCCAGATATAGACGGTGCGACTGTGGCTTTGGATATTTAATGAGATGTCCTCGCAACTGGATGGCTCTAGAGGTGAGAGATAAGTGGGATAAATTAGAACCGTGGTCTCTACGAAAATTTTGGAATGCCGGCGGGCAACGTTAGCTAACATGGGATCAGGTTGTAAAGGTTTTAGGGATGATTAAACCAAAACATGGTATCAGCCCATGAAGTCTTCGACAGTTGGTGGTCCGGGTCCTAAGATCCATTGACTGGAGGCTGTTGGAGAAATAGCTCAAGATGGTCCTCAGTGGCTTAGGTGAACTCACTCTTTGTAATGTCCCATATTCGTCTGACCGTCATGTTTCTCCACTTTACTATTCATTCTTCTGCAGATTTCTGTTTATTGTAGTTCCTTTTAACCTTCTTTCTCACTCCTTTTTTTCTACCTCTATGGGCTACAAGGAGCGCGGCGACTTGAACTGCTACCCTTCTATGAAAAGTTCTATGTCAACGAGGTAGTCAGGTTGGCATATAGCAGTGACTCAGGGAGCAATAATGGCTGAAACTAATGTTCCTACCAGAAAATTTTATTCAGTAGCGATTAGACTTTAAAGCAATTACCATCGTAGTGAAAGTCGTTCACAATACAATGGGGGTCTCTGTGGGTGAAGTCATACTTCTGGGGAATAGGGATGTCACAGAAATACGGTGTTTCTCTCAGGTGACCAGTTTTCCGGCTTTGCTGTCTCTCTGCTCTGGAGAGGAGAGGGTTAGTAAATGTCAACCGCGAAAATTGTACATTTCAACTTACTTTGCGGCTGTCTGTAGCCGGTGGTAAGATATTAATGCAGACAAAACTCTAATGACTAATTCGAACAGGTAGAATTTGACCAGGCTCTGCAGTTACACAACATTAATGCTCCCTCTGTTTCATGTGCCTCTTAACTGACGATACTAAAGTGGAATTAAATCTAGTTGATCTGGCTTCGCTTTATATGAGGGGTATGAGATATTTTTGATTGGATACTAGTCGGTAACTAGTGCAATGTGTCTAGTGCTATCTTCGGTGCAGACTGAATTCTATCAGTCAGGTTTACAATGTGGCCACCATGCTATTAGGTATCTCTACTTCACGGTACACTGTGAATTGTTGGTATAAATGGTTGGAGGCAATCGGCCACAGGAAGCTTCGCCTGACAGAGGTTTCATCATGGTTGGCACTCATCACCAACGCGTATCCGCATCCTCGAAGGAACTCATGTCCCTTCTGAGATTTGAACCGCATCACGCAGTGCTACAGTCACAGACGTTACCACTGAGCTATTTAGACTAGCGATTGGCCTCCTGTAGGACTGTATCGGATATTTTTGATTGGACATTAGTCAGTAACTAGCGTAATGCGTCAAGTTCTATCTTCGGTGCAGACCGAATTCTATCAGTCAAACTTGCGATGTGGTTAAGTCTCTGACTGTAACAACAGAAGACAAGGGCCAGGCAACAGATCGTTTTATTACGGAAATCAACACGTATTTATATATATTTCACATACATTATTATAGTTTATTCAAGTAAATAAACGCAGTCTTCTGATT